CCTTGTTGTTTTTGTAGATACAGACTAACACGGCTACCCCCTGATAGTTTAAAATGGATTCTCCAGAGGCCAAGAGACAGAAAAAGGATTTTTGGATAAATAGCCTGGTTTTAAACAGGCTCAGGGCCTTCTTCCTGATCCAGAAAATGGCCAGGCCATTAGAGTAGGGTTGGAAAGACTGGGCTTACGGAGGACCCATTAAACTGTGAGCTGAAATTGTAATGAACTTGACACCAGAAGGAAATTCTTTGGGTGGGGTTCTGAAGGACTGCTCCTGCCAGAGCCTATGTTAGTGTTGGGGGTTAACTCTGGTAAGCTTATTGGCATGCATGTAGGTCCCTTTTATTGTTCTCTGTAGCGCTTTTAGCTTAAGAATTAAACAGGCTTGCATAAGAAGTGCTGTCTGGCACTTTATAAGAGAAAGTTACTTATCTTAAAATAACTGTTCTTCAAGACATGTGGTTCCCTACCTGTATTCCACTGCAGGTATGTAAGTGTGCCATGCTTGGAGCTGGAGATTTTGAAAGCAGCATCCATTGGCCCGCATATGCACCCTGGCTCACCTTGTGTCTCAAATGCAGGGGATAAAGGGTGAGGTGGACTGACCACCCCTCCAGTTCCTTCTCTATGGTGAATCAGAGAATATCTAAAGCATAGGGGAAGGAGAGGAGGGGTAGTGGAATACAGAGAGGGATCACACATCTCGTAGAACCTCCAGTTACTATAAGGCAAGTAACCTTCTCTTCTTTGAGTGCTGGTCCCTATGCGAATTCCACTTTGGGCGATCGACAAGCAGTACTCAGAGAGGAGGAGCATGTGAGGTTGTAGACAGCAGAGTCGAACGAAGGACTGCCATTCCAAAAGATGCTGAGGAGTCCTGTACCAATGCATGGTGTCTTGCAAATGTGTGGATGGTGCTCCTCATAGATTCCTTGCAGATATCACGTAAAGGCACCTCTTGAAGAGATTCCATAGATGTTGCTTGCTCTTACCGCAAGAGAAGGAGGAAAGATTAGACAGCTGATAGCCGAGCAAAATAAAGCCAAAGATTCCTTTTGCAATTCTTTGAGAGGATATAGCCCGACGCCTGACCCCTGACCCTAAACTATGGCGACAAATAGTTTAGGAGACCTTCTGATTGTTTTTGTTCTCTGCAGGTAAAAGGCCTCTGAACATTGAGGGGGTGGAACCTCCTTTCTACTGGGGATGTGCATAGTTTTGGGAAGTAAGTGAATTGAGAGTGTAAACATAATGAAACTTTGTCCTTATGGAATATAGTATACGGAGGATTTGGTATTAGTGTTCCAAGCTCACCAGCCCCCTTGGCTGAGGTGATAGCTACCAGGAATGAGACTTTCCTGGATGGGAGAGACATGGAGCAAGAAGCTAATGGTTCAAAAGGAGACTTTGTGAGTACTGAGAGAACAAAGTTAGAGTCCCATTGAGCATAGGCTTTTTTATAGGCAGAATGGTTCTGATTAGGCCTTTCTAGAATCTGCTACTCAGTGAGGTGCGTAAAGATCAAGTAGCCCTATGAAGGTGAATGGTATGCACGGATTGCTGCCAAGTGGACCCATACGGTGCTGATAGACAAACCTATCATCATTAAGGAAAGAATATAGTCCAGAAGGAAAAGAATATCTGCAGCCTCTGGGGGTATAAGTCTTCGATGCACCCAGACAAAAAAATGCTTCCACTAGGCTAGGTAACATTTTCTAGTGGAATCCTTGGAAAAGATATTCTGTACAGCTTGAGAACATGATCACTCTGAAGATGACATCCAGCCCAAAACCAGGCTCTGAGATGAAGTGGACGTGGGTTGGTATGCTTGATCTTGTCATTCTCCAGGTTAGGAGATTGGGAAGAATGACTGGTGCCTGAAACAACATACATAGGAAGTTCAGGAACCAAAACTGTCTAGGCCAGTTTGGGGCAATGAGAATGACTTGTGCCCTGTCCAGCCAAATCTTGTGTAAAACCTGAGGCAGGATGGTAGTGAAGGGAAGGCATAGTTCAGATGATCTGACCATGAAAAGAGTAGAGTAGGATGAGAAAACAGAAATTCTACCCCTCTGGCTGAGAGACAGTACGATTTCTCTGACCCCTTCGGGGGTAGGGGCCAGGCTGCTCTATCTGGCTCCAGGATGGCTCTGTTAATAAGGAGCGCTATTTGACTGGAGCGGGAAGACTGAAGGATGCCCAGGAGCTTGTGCCCCTCAAGAGGAATCTGCAGCTCTCCTGCAATTCTGCAAAGGACTTCCTGGAATTGATTATAGTTATCGGGGGTGGAAGGGATGGAGACATTGGAGTTACTGCCTCATCTGGAGACTAAAATGGCAATCTCATCAGTTCTGGTGCAACTGCTGGATCCAGCACATTTTCCTCATCCGAAGTGGGATCTGGGGGCAGCGCCGGCTGTTCTTTCATGGGGAGGGAAGAAGCGACTCCCTAGCAGATTGGGCTGACTCTGTGGGATGGTACTGGTTCCATAGCCCCCAGTATGGCCAATAGGATGGATTGAATGAGGGTTGTAGAGGTCCCCATGGCATGAGGTACCGACGGCTCTGAGGCAGGTGATGAGGTGGACGTTGGGCACAAGCTGGTCCAGCTCTTCTGACCAGGAAGGTGCGTCTTGGAGGAGGGAATAACGGTTCATCACGCACTTCAGAATCTCCCGATGAGGAGAAAGCCATTCTGGTTCCAATGGCGGAACTGATGGTGCCACTGGAGGGAAATCATAGCGTAAAGATGGAATGGGAGACAGACTCCTCCCATTCCCATTCTCTAGCTGGAGTAATAATCTCTCTCAAGGGGAAGGGACTTGATAGATGGGGAGACTCTGGGTCTGGGAGAGCGAAGAAGTCCTCAGGAGGAGCATAGGTCTTGGCTTTTCCTGGAGTGAGAGGGGTCCTGTCCACCCAAACCACCAGAGCCACTGTAGAAACAGTCAGTGCCACAGCTGTTGAAGACAAAGATGGTATCATGGGTAACCAATGCTCTTGATGAATGGTCTTCGCCAGTGTCAGGGGATCCTGGCGTTTGTGTTTGCGGGTACCGGAGGCACTGGTACCACTGAATCAGATCTGGTGCCAATGGAGTCCTAGACTTGTGGGCTTTCTTGTCATGCCTCTGAAACCTAGGCTGTACTAAGTTCTCTTGGGCTGAATTTATAGACTTGCTCGGTTTAGGCGGGGCTGGATCCTACATCTTCAAAGTGGATTTGGAGGAAGACAGTCTCTTGCTTATGAGAATGCTCCCTGCTCTCCAGATAAGACCCCACAGAGGGAACTGTGAGGGCAGACTCTCTCGCTCCTGAGTCGGACCTCCTGGCAGGAGGCGCATTCCTTGCTGAGTTAGGCTGATGTATGGGGGTAGGGGGGAAGAGGGTGTACCCAGGCCTGGGTCTGATTGCGGCCTCATGGGCTTTTCCAGTAGGTGCTTTCTAAAGCTAAGTTCTTGTCCTTCCTGGGTACGGCTGGGGAATGAGTGGGAGATTCTGCATCTCTCCATGATGTAGGCTTCTTTGATGCAGGACAAGCTGACTAAGAAGGCGTGCAGGTAGGAAGCACTAATTTTGAAGCCTGGTGTCCTGGGCAAAATTCCAGTATCCAGGGATCCAGTGGGATGGGGGCGGGGTGGGGGTGGGGGGAAGACAGAAGGGGGCTTCTCCAGGTCTGGGAGACTTACTACTCATAAAAAACTAAAACTAGCAGATTAAAAATACCTATTTACAGATCTCTAAATATATTCACAGATAACGGAGAAAGCTGAAGCTTTGGAAACTGGAGGTTCTGACCCGGACCACACGGCGGTGAGAAGGAACCGGAGAAGTGGTTGGGTCATTTGTCTCCTCGGTCAGAGGCACGAGGTGAGCCAGGGAATGTGTGTGGACCAACAGACACTGCTTTCAAAATTCTCTGGTTCCAGGCACATGGCGCGCGCATGTGTACCCACCCTGGAATACACAGTGACCAGCACTCGCAGAACAATTACTCTGGTATTAGTCTCTGCCTAAGCAGACCTGCTTACTCTCTCTTCAGAGTCTCTTACTGTATATTCAGGGCTGGGACTGTGCCGCCTGAAATGCCCTGGTCAGAAGGGAGTGAGAGATGCATTTCCACTCAAGAGAGGCGACGGCCAGGGCAACTTGAAGCCTAGGGGGCCTTTGCTAGACTATAGAGGGGGAGTACAGATGCTGTTGCCCTGAACTGTGACACAAACAGTGGGTGAAATCCTGGCACCACGGATATCAATGCAAATAGGATTTAACCCAGTATGTAAAAGACCCTAGACTAGGAGTGGCTAAGTGGTCACCAA